AACTGTCTGTCTCTCTCCCTTTCTCTCTGTAAAAAATCAATAAAATATATTTAAAAAAAAAAGAAGCAGAGGTTATCTCTGTCTGTGGTGGCTGGCACTGGCTGCAGGGAAGAGTGCCATGGCACGTTGGTGGGACTTCTAAGGATTCTCGTGGCGTTCCTGCAGTGTGGCCCAGCCTGTGGGCATACAGCTCAGGGTTATTTCCACCAGCACTGGCACTGTGGACATGTGGCCGTGCCAACCACTTGTTCAGGGGTTATCCCTGGTGTCCCGCTGCTGGGAGACATGCGAGGCCCACATTGTTTGGCTAGGGCAGAAGTGTGGCAGGTCTCTGGGCAGGCCTGGGAGCTCCGGTTTGCCTTTTTTGACTGTGGCCATCACCATGTCACCCACCCCGGCGGCAGGAAGTCTGTTCAGTCGTCCCTTGATCCCCTTCACGGAGATTATATACAGATTTTTGGCTCCTAGAAAGGAATATAAGAAGTGATGTTCTTCTGAGGGTCTATTAGGCAGCTCGGCCGTGGTAACGTTTCCCCCAACACTTCCAAAGCCTCCCCCGCCCGCCACTCACCCCCACCCCAAGGCGGACACCTGTCACACCGCCGATTGAAGCAAAGCAACACGACACGCTGCCGCTTCACCCAAAAGCGGTGTTTTTCCTTTGCCCTTTCTTGACGGCTCAGTGGGTCATCGGCAAGAGGCCCAACGAGTGCTTTTAAAAGGGGCAGGTGGGCAGGCGCGGCCGCAGGTCTCACCGGTGTTGTCAGCACAGTTGATCACGGCTCCCACCGGAAGACCCAGGGAAATCCGGAACTTCGCCCCGGAGGACCCGCCGCGTCCTGTGGGTGAGAGAAACAGGAGCTCGCTGTCCGCCCGTGGCTCGGGGGCCCCTCCCTTCTCTGGACCTGGGTGAACTCCAAACCAGCATCAAAAACAGGTATTTACTCAGTACCACCACATCCACCTGTAGCCCAGGGAGTCAGCAATGAACTCAAGACCTTAAGAGACAACCACATGTCACACACTCAGGGCTTTTGTTTCCATGTGTGTAGGTAGGTGAGGTGGCCTATAATTACCAGCTGAGCTTGCTGGGGGACATGGCAGAGTAAATATTTGGGGGATGGAGCCCCTAGCGTACACGGGAAGTCAATGAAGAACTTAGAATACTGATCTCACATCGCCTAAGGAAATCAAGCTTTAAGAGGCCTGGAGAACGGTAAAATTATTCAGTAAGGGAAGAAGTCTCTGGCTGTCCAACAAGCAGAGGGCTCGGTCACTCACCCTTCTTTCTGAGCTCCGGCTTGCCTTTTTTGACTGTGGCCATCACCATGTCACCCACCCCGGCGGCAGGAAGTCTGTTCAGTCGTCCCTTGATCCCCTTCACGGAGATTATATACAGATTTTTGGCTCCTAGAAAGGAATATAAGAAGTGATGTTCTTCTGAGGGTCTATTAGGCAGCTCGGCCGTGGTAACGTTTCCCCCAACACTTCCAAAGCCTCCCCCGCCCGCCACTCACCCCCACCCCAAGGCGGACACCTGTCACACCGCCGATTGAAGCAAAGCAACACGA